TTATAAATTATCAAGGGTTCATGAGGGAGGGGGAGCAGGGAGGGAGGGGAAAAAATGAGGAACTGTTACCAAGGGCTCAAGTAGAAAGCATATGTTTTGAGAATGATGATGGCAACAAATGTAGAAATGTGCTTGACACAACGGATGGATGGATGGATGGTGATAAGAGTTGTACGAACCCCCAATAAAATGATTTTTTAAAAAAAGCAAAGCTGTCCCTTTGAGGACTAAGGTGTGCCTGACCCAGGCCAAGCTATTTTCAATGGCCTCATATGCCTGCCTAAGCCGGACAAGGAATAAGGAGGATGGAGAATTGAAGTCTTTGAATCACAGCGTTGGCAAAGAATACCACAGACTGTCAGAGAAACAAACAGATCTGTGTTGAAAGAATGATAGCTCCTTAGACGTGAGAATGGCCACCCTGCACCTCATGTCCTGGGAGCATGCCATCAGGAGGGACCGGTTGCTGGAAAGGAGCACCGTGCTTGGTGAAGAAGAAAGGGAAAAAGAGGAAGAGCCTGGAGGAGATGGCCTGACCCGGTGGCTGCAACAGCGGCCCAATCGTAGGAGAGATTTTGAGGGGCGTTCGGTGTCTCATCCTGTTCTACATTGGGTCACTACGAATTGCAAATGTTCAATTGTTTGTTTGTTTGTTTGCAGAACCACCAAACTTTTCCACAGTAGTTGTACCCTTTCGACTTGATTTACTTTTGAATAATGAATGCAAGCCTAAGAGAATGTGGGCATTTGGTTCAAATCTCAGTCCTGCTGCTACTGGTATCCTTAGACAAATTCCAGAAACCACCAGTGGCCTTAGTTGTGGGGTACCAGTCCCCACAATTGAACAGGTCCAAGGGGTGGTTGTGTCATTGAGGGGTAAAATTAAAGAGCCATCGCACAAGATAAAGCACGTGAGTGCTCACCTCCAGGGCTGCCATGACTTCAGGAGCCAGGTCCACACACAGAGAGAGAATAGATTGCCAACCAAGGCTTATATGCCCTCCAGGGGCATGAAAGTCCCTTTAATTACAGGTAACCACATGTGTTAACGGGGAGGGGTTGTACAATAGGCAGACATGTAACAGAAGGGGGATGAGCTAGGGGTGTGCACAAATGCAATAGGAAGGGGAGGCACCAGGGGCACACGTGACGGGAAGGCACGCACGTAACAAGAGAGGCAGACTTTAGAGGCAAATGGTAACCTAACCTTGGTTGTCCCTGAGTTGGCTTGACCTTAGGCGTCTTTGGGCTCTCCTTCAGGGGAACAATGCATTATCCTTATCGGAAGGGAGTGGGCCCTACTTACAGTGGGACAGACACTAGGGTCTGATTGCCTTAGATGACTGACAACCTTCAGACAGATAACCTTCGATCAGTTGACCTCCAAGTGTATAGTCAGTGACTATGTGTTTGAAAACAGCACCTTAGATTTGGCATAATTATGGAGGGACATCGTGGGGAATAACTTTTCCTTGGGAGAATGTGAATGGGATGCATCTCCAACCCATGAACGTGAAGGTTCCTTCCACGGGAGCCTTGGCCTCCCAGACTCCTTAACGTACAAATGTTGAGTTTGTCTACGTACACTCTCTTCCTGGTTCTCTTTCCCAGACTTAGTTTTTTATTTGTTTTTATTTGGAAAATAGAGATATTAATCCTTATAACACAAAGCCTTTGGGGGGTTTTGGTGAGATCATGCACTTTAGCGCCTACCACTGGGCCGTGCTCCGTGCCTGCCCCACAAACCTATGACCTACTGGTGCTCGGGGCCAGGTTGAAATGCACAGGGGGAACATGTTGGCTGGGTCCGAGATACCGTGGTGAGTCGTCATTGTCATGTGCATGCTCAGCCCCTGTAAGTCACGTGGCTTGGTGCCACCATGTGAGGGTGCAGGCTTGAGGGGCAAGAACGTTCTAGAGTTGAGGCCATTATGACTCTGGTCGGCTCACCTGGGCTGGAGCTCCTGGCCCTGAACCACTCAGGTGTGTGCTCCTGCGAGAAGGGGCAGACCACCTGAAAAACTCAATGTTCTTTTGCCCTGCAACTCTCGGTCTCACAGCATGTGGGCACAGGTGTCAGGGTGAGTGAGAGAGAATGGCAAGGCTTTGTAGAAGTTCATCCGAGGTGCTTTGACCTGTCCGTTTTGAAAAAGGAAAATTGTGGTCAAACGTATAGCAGAGTTTGCCTTTTTGTCCACTATTACATGTAAAATCGGTGGCTTGATCTTTGGAGGCTTTGCGTGGCTGTGAGGACCCAAGGGGAGTCCAAGGAGGCTGGGTTCCCTGGGCAATCCGTAGTCTTGCCTGTGGGCAGTCTGGGCCCAGGGGAGACGGACCGAAGGGGAAAGAGACAGACCAGGGAACAGGCAGCACAAAGGCCTTCCAAGTGCAAAGCAGGAGCGAGCTGAGCCGGTGAACCCGGAACCTGGGCCAGCCTTGTAGAGTTTTGGGCTTGATCTGAGCGCAGCAGGAAGCCATTGAAGCGGAGAGTGGCATGGTCTTTATAGTCCTACACTGAGCATTCGTTTGCCTGGCTTTTTCATTCCGATGGAAAGGGGGAGCCGGGGAAAAAGGTTTTGTACTCCATACCTACCCTACTAATTTTTTGTTTGTCCCCCCTCCCCAATTTTTTATTTTTAGAAGTAGAAAATGACGGCGTGATGCAATAGACGTTTCTTTCCAGAATGAATTGTGCTAACAGAAGTAACTGGCACCACGTTCGGCACACTTGACCCAGTGAGTTTTTTACCGCTCCTACTTCCAGTCCACAATTCCTGCTGTTCCAGCAACACCAAAGGGGACCAGGCCTTCCTACGGAGTAAAGACACACTGCCCTTGGAACTTGCCCATTGAGAAATCTGAATTGGTTCAAAAGCTCCAAGGGTGACAATTTCACCAAATTATGATTCAAATAGTAGTAACCTCCCCACATGCAACCTATGGTTTGACTTATAAAAATATAATTTGCATTCGAGTCCTTTAGCGCACACTCATTGCCTAACGCAGGCCCCAGGGTCACACGGCCAGGGGCTTTGTCTACGCTGTCCCACACTGAGAGATTACCACGTGGTTGGCCTCTTACGCAGTGGGCTTTCTACCAGTGCTGAATTGGTTTCAATATTGGTAGATGGTTTTGCATTCTGGGCACAATCTGAAGTCAGGGGCATCGGTTCCATAGTTCTCTCTGTAGTTGTTAACATGAATTCTGATAGCATGAAAAAGCTTGTTCTCCGAATTATATTTAGCTCATACAAACTCTACTGCACAATTATGTTGTAAAGCGGAATTAGGATTTATCTTTAAGTTGTGATTATAGTCTTGGGGAAAGGTGAACATGGAGAAAGATCCACGTAGTCATGGCAGATCATGTTATTAATTTCGCTCCTTTTTCTTGTTTCATGTGGAACAGATAGCTACAAGAGGCATATGGTAGGTGTATCCGTCCGGGTCCTAGTCAGAAATACATGTCAGGCCCAAATTAGATAATTCAGCAAGGGCTGTCTCAAGGGACTGTTGACAACAGTTGGGGCAACTTGTAGGGAAACCAGGAGGGGGAGTGAAGCTGGGGCAGAGGCGTAATGGATCTGAAAGAATGATCAAAACTCTCTCTAGAACAAGAGAGCTGTGTGCAGAGGGCTGTGCCTTGAGAAGGCTGGCGACCTGTTTTCAGAAGACACACCCTACCTGAGGTGACCCGGCAGGGATGGAAGGGAGACTGAATGAACCCTTCACCCACCCTCACCCTCGCCTGCTGCTCTCCAGTCTCCAACTGCTGCCCGCTCTCCTTTGTCAGCCCAGCTAGAGGCTGGAGGGCAAAGGAGTCGATGGCGTCCACTGTAGGTCAGCTCCCAGGGCAGAGCAGGAGGACGGACGAGGGTGGAAAAGTGGGTCTGGACGGATGAATGGAAATGATCTGCTACCGCAGGCTGCAGGGAATACTATAAAAGAGCGGGTATTTTACGGGGGCACTGTGACCTTGAGGAAATGACCTCTAACAATAGGCTCTGGGTTACTGTAACCAGAATACTCTAAAATGCATCATCTGCTGGGGCTTGTTCAGAATAGTAAATATGACCCCATGGGTCATAAAATTCAGGGGCCCTGATGGCGCTGTGGACGGGGGGTGGGCTGCTAACTACAAGGTTGGTGGTTCTAACCCACCAGCCTCTCCACAGGGGAAAGATGTTCGTCTTAGGAACCCTGTGGAACAGGAATAGACTCGGTGGCAGTGGGTTTGGCCACCACATACACTGGTTTGCCCGGAAGCAAGAGAGTGAGGGCCAAGCACACCTGTCCGGCAGTTCGTGGCTGGCCACGTGGCACCTGTTCAGGTGGTCGCTGGACGGATCTGCCGGTGCAGCTCTGATGAATGGAGTGAGCCGTGGCCCCGGCTTTTCTGAGCCTGAAATCAAGGTCCTTCTTCACCGGAGGTCCTCTCGGGAAGGGGAGGGGGTGGGCCTCCTTCGGTGACAAAATGTGCGACAAGCAAATCCATTCGTTCCACTCATTTCCTCTCGGAGAACAGCGATCCTCGAGCGTTACATAATCGAATCTTCATGCCTCGCTGGTTGTTCTGTCCTCCTGAGGAATTGGCAGATGGTGCCAGCGCAGAGACCCGCGCAGATGCCTCGCAAGCCGTGCGGCAACAGGAGAGCTGCCCGGCGTATCTGCCTGTTTGTTGGGGGGGGGGGGGGGGGGTCCCTCGCTGGAATTTGCCTCCCTGGATCCGAGGGCTCTGGGGCTTTCTTTCCTCAGGCACACCTGGCTTCTGCCTTCGGAGCTCATTGCAAAATACATTGGGAATGCCGAAGGCAAATTTTTAAAAAAAGTGAAACACAAAGGGCCGAGACTTGGCCAGGTCGTGTCGAATGGCCCTCTCCCATCAGCCAGTGGTAGATCCTCAGTTTGAACTTCCTCGCCCAGCCTGGCCTCAGGCACCGCCACAGCCCAGGAGCAGTCAGAGTAGAGATGTGCTCCATAAGGTCTCTGGATTTCTCTCCAGAAAAGCAAGTCACGTGCCCGCAGACGGGCTCGGTCCCCAGATAGGACAAGTGCCTGGCATCCGCCTGAAGGTCGGCGATGGTTTTGTAGATCAAGGAGAGTGAGCTCTGAACTCGGGGAAAAGAGGAGCCAGCCTCCCAGCTGGGTCCCTGCAAACCCTCCTCGGGGAGCTGCCCTGGCAAAGGCACCGCCGTCCTCTCTCAGCCAAATGACCGCTCCCCAGAGGCAGATGGTTGGTTGCAGATGTCCTGCAGTGGGGACAGTGCTGATCCTGAGGACTGGGGGAAGCTGGCTTGTTCTGGCATTGCCTTCCCCTGGTTCCAATGCTGAAAGCCTCCCCAACTGCTTGGCAAATCGTCCGCAGCTGATAGTCCCGTCGGCTGAGTGGGTCTTGTTTTAGCTGCTCTCCCGAGGAAGTCTCCATTTCCATGCTGCAGCAGCACGAGCTTTCTCTGCCAAACGCCATTTGGTTCCCACCATGCTGTTCTGGGAGGTCTGCTCCGTGGAGGGCCAGGCACCACTCCCACGCCCCCACGGCATATGGAGCCGCCCTTCTCGCAGGGAGGCCTCATGAAGCACTCGGATTTGGGGTGGACTCCCCCTCCCCGGCAATTAAAACACACAACCCTCCAGCCTGTGGTGAAAAAGCAGGCCTGGTCCTTAAAGGGCACCTGGCCACTCAGGATCCCAGTTGTATATATATGTGTATGTATATACATATCTTTATGTAGATGGATATTATATACGTACGATATCTATACACCACAGAAATGACCTCTCTGAGGGAGAAGGCCAAAACCAGCCGAGAGAGATCCCCTCTCAATGCCATCTCTTCCCACTGCGTCCAAACACAGGGGCTACCGCTTGGGCGACTTCCTACCTAGACTGGAAGGACAAATGACATCCAGAAACCCAAGTCGCAGAGGAACCAATTTGCGACAGCCGTGCCCTCTTACTGCAGGTGTTCACTCGCCACTCTTGAAAAGCATAGTGCGTGGCCCTAAGGTGTTTCAGGAGTGGGCGCGACTCACTAGCCTTGTCTGGATGCCCTGTCCTGCTCGCTTGAGTTTTAGTGATTTCTTTTTCTTTCTCTTCTTAAGTGGTCATTTGCATGCCATGACATGTACAGTCTTCAGTGTACATCTCTGACCAATACACATACCCTTGGCACTCAGGCCCTTCCATTTTTCTTTTAAAAATCTTTGAATCCTCTTAAGTGACGAGTGTCTGGTTCTTCTCACAGTCCACAGACTGGCACCATTCCCCTTCCAACCAAAACCGAACTCACTGCCATAAGCCAAGGGCCGCTCATAGCCAGCCCTGGAGGAGAGAGTAGACGTGTCCCTGTGGGTTCCCAAGACTGTCACTCTTTTGGGGAGCAGAAAACCTCATCTCTCTCCCATGGAGTGGCTGGTGGGTTTGAACTGCTGGCCTTGTGGTTAGCAGCACAACACATAGCCCACTAGACCATCAATGTTCCTTCCTTTCCCCCAACCACCACCCCACCATCCAAAAAAAAATTAATCTCATCCAATGTCCTCCTGAATCCCCCAATCACTACAGAGGGCTCAGAGCCGTAAGCTGTGTTTGTAATCCCCGCTTTCTGAGACCTCGCAGAGATTTTGTCATCTGAAAACAAGAGGGAGATTAAGTACAGAATCTGATTCTGACAGCAGCAGGAAGGAGTGAGGCAGACAAGCGACATCGCAGAGAATTAATTCGTCGCCGGTGTGCAAATGCGCTGCTACCTGATTTATCCCAGACGCTAAGCCTGCCCTGCGGTCTGGGCCAGGAAAGCAGCTTGCCCCTGGGACACGGCATTGTCAGGCTGAGAGATGCTACTGGGAGCTCCGTGGACATTTGAGGAGCTGTGATGCTCACCCTGCCCTCTTCCATCAGAGTGAAGCCTCGGAGAAACAAGAGCGAAGACAGCTAAACGCACCAGTGCCCCTGAGATGACTAGTGGATTTGGCCCCATCTTCTCTAGCTGACCACCCCTGTGTCATCCCACGGCTCCCAAACAGGTCATCTATGACTTCCTTTCCGCCAAGGGTTAGGTAGTCAATAGTGTATCGCTTAAGAGTTCAAACTTGGGTGCCACTGAAAGGCAAATAAAGAAGACTGCCTGTGACCGTACCCTTCAAGCTGTCAAAGGGCAGGCAATCTCAAAAGGATAGTCTTTCAATGATTTCCACCCAACAGGGGACTTGGTAGTAACTATGAACCCACAGCGTCATGGTGATTCCAACTCACAGTGACCTAGGACAGATAGGACAGAGCCCAGCTGCTCCGTAGGGTTTCTGAAATGGAATCTTTCTGGAAGCAGATAGTCTCATCTCTCGTCGATGAAGAAGCTGGGAGGTTTGAACCGGTGACCTTGTGGTTAGCAGCTAACAGTGAACCCACAGAGCCACCAAAGGTCCTTGTCATTACTGCATGTTCATTCTACCTCACTATTGGTGAGGCCAAGTACTCTCATTTTCCACATCCAAGACTTCCCATGTCAAAAGGATGATGTTTCTGGAATCTCGCCGGCCTCTGACCGGCCTCTCCATGTAGTCTTCATTGTCTCCCCACCAGGTTCGCTCCCCATGAAGGCGGGCACAGTGCTTGCCCTGTGTACTGCTCGCCCTGCCGTGCTAGCACACCAGGGACCCTCAATCCAGCTTGTAAAGTAAATGAACTTGAATCCCTAACTGGTTTCCTTGCCTTTAGTCCTCTTCTCATTCACTCCCACAAATGCGTCAATGTCACCTGAAGAAAAAGAAAAAACTCCGAGAAGGACCAAAGTCAAACTCACTGCCATCGAGGCAGTCCTGACTCAGAGACCGGATAGAACAGGGTGGAAGCGCCCGTGTAGGCTTTGGAGACTGTGACTCTTTACAGGAAGAGAAATCTCAGAGTTTGCTTGCAGAGCGGCTGGTGGGTTCCAACTGCTGACCTTGCAGTTCGCAGCCTAATTCATAACCACTGGGCCACCAGGATTCCTATTAAACCTCGTTGGGGGTGGGGGTGGAGGTGGGGAACAAACAAACAAAAATCCTTGGATTCTCAATGGTCCATAGAATAAAGTTACAGACCCTTGAAAATCACACTCAAGATCATTCCCAGTGTAGTCTCATCCACCGTGGGCAGCTATCCCAACCTCACGCTCCCTCCCCAGTGGTTTACCGAGCACTCCGTGCAGGGTTGCATCCTCCCAAGCCACCCTTCGGGCTGTTTCCTCTGCCTGGAATAGCCTTCCTTTTACTCTTCTTACTCATCCAGTAGAATGCCACCTGCCCTTTAGAACACGGCTCAGACGTCACTTTCTCTAACACCTTCTCCAGTTCCACCGAGCAAAGGTTCTTCTTTGGGGTGCCCATTTAACCGAGCTGCTAATCCCTTGTTTACATGGCTCTCCTTCTACCAAAGTTCTTTATTGGGGGGGGGGGGTGAGCTCCAGGAGAGCCAGGGCTGACTCTGCCTGATCTTAGTGTATCTCCCACATCTGACCATCTCTCCCCGCCCCCACCCTGATCACTCTAGTCCCAGCTCCTGCCAGCTCTCATCTGTCATCTGACCGGCTCCAGATTGCCACCCTGACTTGCTACTAAGCAGCCAATCATTCTTCAATAATGTGAACAACCAGATGCGACTGTTCTACTACAAGCCTGCTAATGGCTTCGCTCCGCACTTAGAAAAAGCTCCGAAGCCCTTGATTTCCGGACCCCTGCTTTCCTCTCCAACCTCCTCTCTCCCTTTCTCCTCCTTGCCCGTCCCAGGCCCACTGGTCTCTCTGAGTTTTGGTTATCTCATTCTGCCACAACAGAAACATCACCACCACCACCAAACCAAACGGCAGACCCATTGCCATTGAGGCATCTGCCTTCACAAACAGAAACGTATTTTCTCACAGGAGAGGAGGCTGGAAGTCTGCATTCAGAGGGCTGGCTCTAGGGGCTGGCTTTCCATGTTGGCTCTGCCGGAAGGTCCTGATCTTTTGTTGCGCTTCTGCTCCTGGACTGTCTGCACGTGGCTTGTCTCCCCACCTCTACTGCTCTTCTTCTTGGCTTCATTTTATATCCTTTTATATCTCAAAAGAGGTGCCCTGGTGGCATAGCGGTTACACGTTGGGCTGCTAACCATGAGGTCAGCTGTTTGAAACCACCAGCCACTCCATGGGAGAAAGATAGGGCTTTCTCCTCCTGGAAAGAGTTACTGTCTTTCCAGGGGCCACTCTATCCTCTCCTATAGGGTCTCTATGAGTTGGCATCAAATTGAGGCATTGAGTTTGTTTGTTTTTTAATATCTCAAAAGAGAATGACTCAAGACATACCCTGCATGAATATTGCCTCATTGAGATAAGCCAAGAAAAACTCGATTTCCAAATATTTTGCACTCTCCCCCACTGCCAGGAAAGCTCCTCTCTTTCACTCCGGTCTCTGCTCCCAAGCCACCCCCTCCGAGAAGCCTTCTGGAAAATCACTCTCCATTCCTGCTTTCTTGCCTTGCTCGATTTCTCTCCACGTCTCCACGGCATTCAATGCCCTGGTGCTAACGCACCACCATGTATGTATGTGTGGATGTTGCTTTCCTCACACCGGGTCTCTAGTACCTAGAACAAAGCCAACAGCTATCTTGTCAATTCTGATTCATGGTTCGCGGCCCTGTGTGGCCGAAGACAACTGCTCCAGAGGATTTCCAAAGCTGTCTACCTTCCAGAAGCCGACTGCCTCAGTTTTCTCCTGCAAAGGGGGCGGTGGACTCCAAGGCCTGACGTTGCAGTGAGCGGCCCACCACTTACCCCACTGGGCCTCCAGGACTCCTTGGGTCCAGAATAGGCCCGCCATATACACTTTCTGAGTGAATCTTTTGCTTCTCCTGGGCCTAGTCTAGTACCTGGCTCTGCAAGTGTTTAAGGAGTGGCTACCTTCATGGGTCTGCAAATGAAACAGAACCCCAAGATCTAAGAACGTTAACCCAGTGAAGTGGCTCTCTCTGTTGGCGCCACAAACACAATTCTGAATGATTTCCTCTGATGGCCACCCGTGACATCATCAGACTCAGCTCTTTTCTTTCTTTCTTTTTTTTTTTTTTCAGAAGCCAGCTGGTGACCAAGGTCATGCCCAAGAATATTTAGAGAGTTTCAAAAAGGCAACCAAGAGTGGCAGAGCAGGGACTCAGAATATCCATCGGCCAGCTGCCTCTCACCAGCTCCGACAAGGTATGTGACCTCCTGCGATTTGTACTGAAGGCACACCTGTGATGGATCCGGCCAATCACTGATGACGCTGACGGTGTCGGGCTCCAAACCTGAGAGATGGGCCCTTTCCAACTTGTCTGTCCGGGTGGTTGTGTGCCCACCCATGCCAGCTGCACCAGGACTGGGGCTTTAGGACCCTGTGGGGTCACCACAGGGCAGTTGAGTCTTCCAGATAGCCGGGCTCGAAACACTGTGCCATTCTGCCCCTGTTCACTGTCACCTCCAGGTAGTGACGTCTCCCACTCTGCCTCGTGTGCTGGATTTCCTGTATGTGGGTAAGTCAGAGAAGGCAGAGGGCAGTGCAGAGAAAGGTGAACCCTGGGCATGTGGCATTGAGTCACCTCTCTGGCCGTGCTTCAAACAAGGCCAGAAGGTAGACAGGTTGCACCCTGTTGTCATGGCTGGGTACTACCAGGGTGAGACAGGGCCGGTACCAGGCCTCATAAACACACACATACTCTCACACAACCTTCTTTGACTCTCAAGCATCTTATTAATGAACAAGCATGCTGGACTGCTAAACCCTGGGCTTGGCCCTTTGTGCACCTTCTGAAGTTGCTCTCCAGGACAGGACGTTCCCTACAGCTCTGAGTGGAAAGGGAGGTTCAGTGTAGTGAAGGCAAGTTCCACACGGTAGGTGAGCTGTGTGCTGCAGTCCCCGGTTTATGACCAAGAGCTGGGGCTTTTCCAGGAGCTAGTGAGGCCTGCAGGGGAGAACTGACAAGAGCGCTGGAAGGGCAGCAAATGGGTCCCACCTGAGACTGACCAGCACTGATCTCTGCCCAGCCCAAGTACTGCAGGCGATGCCTGGCTTCCTGGGTATTTATTGGCGATTTCCCAGAGTCACCCTAAGCCCCATTCCATGTTTCCCAAGCCATCCTGGTCCCATTCCATGGCATACCAGGGTCGTCCTAGTCCCCCATTGTGGTGTGAGGTATGAAGGGAAGCGCCCACCGAGCAGTGCCTGCCCTCCCAGCCCCGATCTCCACGCCATTCTGGCCGCTGTGTGGCGCGCAGTGGGGCCCCCTGACCTTCGGCTGGTTCCCTGGACCGCTCTCTCCTTTCAAAGCTGCATCCCATTCCATGTTTCCCAAGCCATCCTGGTCCCATTCCATGGCATACCAGGGTCGTCCTAGCCCCCCATTGTGGTGTGAGGTATGAAGGGAAGCGCCCACCGAGCAGTGCCTGCCCTCCCAGCGCCATTCTGGCCGCTGTGTGGTGCGCAGTGGGGCCCCCTGACCTTCCGCTGGTTCCCTGGACCGCTCTCTCCTCCTTTCAAAGCTGCATCCCCTGGGGAGTACGCCTGTGCATTTCGGGAGGTCCGGGCAGCGCCAGGGGTCTGCAGGCGCCTCCAGACGCGACAGGAGGTGTTGCTGGTCCCACCAAGGTCTCTGCCTCTCGGGGGACACTCGGCCGAGCCCCTCCGCTAGCGCTCCGGGTTCTGCGCGGCAGCGCCCTCTGGGCCACCCGGAAGCGGGGCTCCCCGCGCGCGCGG